TAGGGGAAGCAAAAGTGGATGGGAACCTGGGAGGCAGTGACCATGAGATGGTCGAGTTCAGGATCCTGACACAAGGAAGAAAGGAGAGCAGCAGGATATGGACCCTGGACTTCAGAAAAGAAGACTTTGATTCCCTCAGGGAACTGATGGGCAGGATCCCCTGGGAGAATAACATGAGGGTGAAAGGAGTCCAGGAGAGCTGGCTGTATTTTAAAGAATCCTTATTGAGGTTACAGGAACAAACCATCCCGATGTATAGAAAGAATAGTAAATATGGCAGGCGACCAGATTGGCTTAACAGTGAAATCCTTGCTGATCTTAAACACAAAAAAGAAGCTTACAAGAAGTGGAAGATTGCACAAACGACCAGGGAAGAGTATAAAAATATTGCTTGGGCATGCAGGAGTGAAATCAGGAGTTGCAGCTAGCAAGAGATGTTAAGAGTAACAAGAAGGGTTTCTTCAGGTATGTTAGCAACAAGAAGGAAGTCAAGGAAAGTGTGGGCCCCGTACTGAATGAGGGAGGCAACCTAGTGACAGAGGATGTGGAAAAAGCTAATGTACTCAATGCTTTTTTTGCCTCTGTCTTCACGAACAAGGTCAGCTCCCAGACTACTGCACTGGGCAGCACAGCATGGGGAGGAGGTGACCAGCCCTCAGTGGAGAAAGAAGTGGTTCGGGACTATTTAGAAAAGCTGGAGAAGCACAAGTCCATGGGGCCGGATGCGCTGCATCTGAGAGTGCTAAAGGAATTGGCGGATGTGATTGCAGAGCCATTGGCCATTATCTTTGAAAACTCATGGAGATTGGGGGAGGTCGCAGATGACTGGAAAAAGGCTAATGTAGTGCCCATCTTTAAAAAAGGGGAGAAGGAGTATCCGGGGAACTACAGGCCAGTCAGCCTCACCTCAGTCCCTGGAAAAATCTTGGAGCAGGTCCTCAAGGAATCAAATCTGAAGCACTTAGAGGAGAGGAAAGTGATCAGGAACAGTCAGTATGGATTCACCAAGGGCAAGTCATGCCTGACTAATCTAATTGCCTTCTATGACAAGATAACTGGCTCTGTGGATGAGGGGAAAGCAGTGGATGTGTTATTCCTTGCCTTTAGTTAAGTTTTTGATACCGTCTCCCACAGTATTCTTGCCAGCAAGTTAAAGAAGTATGGGCTGGATGAATGGACTATAAGGTGGATAGAAAGCTGGCTAGATTGTCGGGCTCAATGGGTAGTGATCAATGGCTCCATGTCTAGTTGGCAGCTGGTATTAAGTGGAGTGCCCCAAGGGTCGGTCCTGGGGCTGGTTTTGTTCAATATCTTCATAAATGATCTGGAGGATGGTGTGGATTGCACCCTCAGCAAGTTTGCAGATGACACTAAACTGGGAGGAGAGGTAAACTGGAGGGTAGGGATAGGATACAGAGGGCCCTAGACAAATTAGAGGATTGGGCCAAAAGAAATCTGATGAGGTTCAACAAGGACAAGTGCAGAATCCTGCACTTAGGATGGAAGAATCCCATGCACCACAACAGACTAGGGACCGAATGGCTAGGCAGCAGTTCTGCAGAAAAGGACCTAGGGGTGACAGTGGACGAGAAGCTGGATATGAGTTAACAGTGTGCCCTTGTTGCCAAGAAGGCCAATGGCATTTTGGCCTGTATAGGTAGGGGCATTGCCAGCAGATCGAGGGACGTGATCATTCCCCTCTGTTCGACATTGGTGAAGCCTCATCTGGAGTACTGTGTCCAGTTTTGAGCCTCACACTACAAGAAGGATGTGGAAAAATTGCAAAGCGTCCAGCGGAGAGCAACAAAAATGATTAGGGAACTGGAACACATGACTTATGATGAGAGGCTGAGGGAACTGGGATTGTTTAGTCTGCAGAAGAGAAGAATGAGGGGGGATTTGATAGCTGCTTTCAACTACCTGAAAGGGGGTTCCAAAGAGGATGGATCTAGACTGTTCTCACTTGTAGCTGATGACAGAACGAGGAGTAATGGTCTCAAGTTGCAGTGGGGGAGGTTTAGGTTGGATATTAGGAAAAACTTTTTCACTAGGAGGGTGGTGAAACACTGGAATGCGTTACCTAGGGAGGTGGTGGAATCTCCTTCCTTAGAGATTTTTAAGGTCAGGCTTGACTAAGCCCTGGCTGGGATGACTTAGTTGGGGATTGGTCCTGCTTTGAGCAGGGGGTTGGACTAGATGACCTCCTGAGGTCCCTTCCAACCCTGATATTCTATGATTCTATGATAACCCAACCAGTTTAAATTAAAACCCTAAACCACAAACATCTCTTAGAAAAGGAATCAAATAAAAATGTTAAATTCCCTTAGAAAGACAAGTTAGTACTTTCTGAAAAGTAAAGCCACAGAAGAACCTGCTCTGATTTACTGTGGTGTTAAACAAGTTTCCTTTCCACACACCAGCATTTAAGAATAAGCAAATAGACTGTCTTTCCTCAGAAACGCTTGTTGGGCACAAATGAGTTAGCCCTCCCTCCTCTTTTTTCCTCTAAGAGTAACGATGCTACTTTTAAAATTCTATGCCTCTTTCTTGTGAATTTAATTATTATAATCAGAAATAGCCCTGTGGACAAGAAATAGATGTAGTAAGTCATGGTTTAGCAGGCTTTGCATGGGACTGGGAGCCAGAAAGTCTTGAATGCTAATCCTGTTTCTGATTCTGACACTGGCTTGCTCTGTGGTCTTGGACAGACCCACATTTTCAAAAGTGACTAATGATTTGGAGAACCTCAGAGTGCCCAACTTGAGGCACTTTAAAAAGGGCTGGTTTTCGGAAGGCAGATACTCAGCACTTTCTGAAAATCAGGCCACTTTGAAGTGTGTCAAGTTTAGCAGCCAAAAACTTAGATTCCTGCAAATCTCTAGTCACTTTTGGAGATTCATGTGTTATCCTCTCTGCCTCCGTTTCTCTATCTGTAAAATGGGGAGAATAATACCTTCTTCACAGGTGTGTTCTTTGGATTGACCAGTTGATATTTTAAGATACTATGTACATTATATTATTTTTATTAATATGTGTGGGGACAATCATATCTTTTTAATACTATAGAGATAGGGACTGGGGGGCGGGGGGAATAGATTTGTTTTTCAGTGAGTTGAATTTAAAATACATTCCAACTTTTCAGGCTTGCCTCCTATCTTTGCATCCTGGCTGACATTTCAGTGCTCAGAGATCAGGGATTCCCTTCATTGTATCTGACAGTATTATTTTATTACTGTAATTTATTATTTATTGTGCTGATTGCTATGCAAACATAGAAGGTGCAATCCCTGACCTACAGCAATAATCTTGGGGGGAGTGGGGTGTCACATACAATAGGCCAGAGTTTGGGAGCCTAGATACTACCGTGACAAATGCCTTCCCAATGGACAGGGAGAGGCTGCAGTCTTGATGTGCGGTTAGCTTTGGGGCCATGGTTGCTGAACGAGTGCAGTCCAAGAGACACAGTTTAAAAAAAAAATCCTTCAGCCCTTGCTCATCAGCCTCGTGTGTGAATGCGTTTTAAGCCGTAACCATGATAAATGTAAAGCCCAATCAAGGCTTGATCTGTGCATATGGGAAGCAAGCAGAGGGCTGCTGTTATTGTAACCAGCTAATTAGCATGCCCCCTAAATTCCCCCCGCTGGTACAGCAGCGTGCCCCCGGCGGGAAGCTTCCTCGGTGGGTTTTGCAGTCACATAACAGGAGGCGGAGGAGGGCTGGGTGACCTGGCTTCGCCGGACGCCGTCCCGGACCAAGGGAGAACAGCTTGCGGAGATGTGGCCCGCCAGTGAGCACGTGCCTTGTGTGAATTACACTGGGGGCCGGCAGTGCCCCCCGCCCCCGGGGGCAGAAAGGGCAGCAGCAACGTTGCAGGGCAACACTTCCCCCTTCCTCTGTGGGGAAGGAGGGATCTGCTGCTCCCTGGGGGTTGGGAAAGGTGTCGTCCCGCCCGGCAGTGGGTCCCGACCATGCCCTCCTGTCCCCTCCCCAGCTGCTGTCACTCCGCAGAAGACGACAGCAAGACGATGATGATAATAATTAATAATTTAAAGCCCATAACGGGATGAATGGGGAAGGCTGTGTGCAAAGGCAGGGGCTGGCTACGCGAGGGGAGACGTTGCTAGGTTGCTGGAAAGGAGCAGAAGGCAGGGAGGGAGTCTTGCCCAGGACACGGTCTCTTCAGGAGAGGAGAAGTGGGGACAAGGTTGTGCTTGGAAACGGAGATCTTAATCATCTCCCCCATCTAACGCTCTCAGACCCAGAGCAGCGCAAGTTCCCCCTTGCCCTCCCAGCATCTCAGTGCACAGAGCAGCCCCGCCTACCCCAGCACCCCAACGCACAGAACAGATCCCGTTCCCCGTCCTCCCCCAGCACCCCAATGCACAGAACAGATCCCGTTTCCCCTCCCCCCTGCACCCCAATGCACAGAACAGATCCCGTTTCCCCTCCCCCCTGCACCCCAATGCACAGAACAGACCCCGTTCCCCCTCTTCCCCCAGCACCCCAATGCACAGAACAGATCCCGTTTCCCCTCCCCCCTGCACCCCAATGCACAGAACAGACCCCGTTCCTTCTCTTTCCCAGCACCCGAATGCACAGAACAGACCTCGTTCCCCCTCCTCTCCCAGCACCCCAATGCACAGAACAGACCCCGTTCCTCCTCTTCCCCAGCACCCGAATGCACAGAACAGACCCCGTTCCCCCTCTTCCCACAGCACCCCAATGCACAGAACAGACCCCGTTCCCCCTCTTCCCCCAGCACCCCAATGCACAGAACAGACCCCGTTCCCCCTCTTCCCCCAGCACCCTCATGCACAGAACAGCCCCATCTTTCCTCCAGCACCCCCATGCACGGAGCACTCCCGGGTCACCCTCTTTCCTCCAGCACCCCAATGCACAGAGCAGCGCCCACTCCAGCCCCGCTCCTCCCAAGGCGGCGAGCATCCCTCCCTCCCCAGGCGTGTGAATGAAGTTTGCTGCTGCGCTTTGCCCCCTTCCCCGCTAGTTACTGTTGCCGTGTCTCTGCCGCTGCCAGGGCCAGGACAAAGGCACATTAGCACGTGATGGGGACGGAGCTTCATAAATGGGACCCGAGAGAAAGAGGGGGGGTGCGAGGAGCCAGGCTGGGAGGAGAGGCGCGGACACACACACTCAGCCGGGGCCGGGCGCGCAGCAGCTGCAGCCGCAGAGGAGGAGTGGGGGCGGCTTCCTCCCAGCCAGGGGCAGGAGGAGCACATGGAGAGCAGCGCCCGGCGCGCTGCCTGAGCCTGCCTGCTGTCCTTCCCCAGCTCCCAGCACCGCCTCCTCTCCTCTCCCCGGCGCCCCGGGCCCGGCCGGGGCGGGGCGGCCCGCGTGCTCCCTGCTGGGAGGGAGCTGTAGTGAGCGCGGGAGCGCGTCTCAGTCCCGCCGAGGAGCCGCCGCGCCACTTGGCAAGAGCACGAGGCAGGCGAGAAGGAGCAGCGGCCCGGAGCAGGAGCCGATGTGAAGGGTAAGGAGGAGCGGGAGGGGCGCTCAGCACGGAAGGAGCCGTCCCCTCCCGAGTGTGTGTCGGGGGGGGGGGCAGCCCTGGAAGCGCATCTCACTAGGGGGTGAGAGATACCGGCTACTACACTAGTGTCAATGCCAGATCAACTTCCTTGCTGTGCTGGTCAAGGGGCTGCTGTCCTCCCCATGTCTCTGCTCAGTTCCTTAAGTATTCTAAGGCTCAGGTATCTGTCTGTCACAAATAGCTTCCTGACCCTGTGTGTGTGTGTGTGTGTGTCTGTCTGTCACAAATAGCTTCCTGACCCTGTGTGTGTGTGTGTGTGTGTCTGTCTGTCACAAATAGCTTCCTGACCCTCTGTGTGTGTGTGTGTCTGTCACAAATAGGTTGCTGACCCTCTGTGTGTGTGTGTGTGTGTCTGTCTGTCTGTCACAAATAGGTTGCTGACCCTCTGTGTGTGTGTGTGTGTGTGTCTGTCACAAATAGGTTGCTGACCCTCTGTGTGTGTGTGTGTGTCTGTCACAAATAGCTTCCTGACCCTCTGTGCGTGTGTGTGTCTGTCACAAATAGGTTGCTGACCCTCTGTGCGTGTGTGTGTGTGTCTGTCTGTCACAAATAGCTTCCTGACCCTCTGTGCGTGTGTGTGTCTGTCACAAATAGGTTTCAGAGTAGCAGCCGTGTTAGTCTGTATTCGCAAAAAGAAAAGGAGGACTTGTGGCACCTTAGAGACTAACAAATTTATTTGAGCATAAGCCTCTGTGTGTGTTTGTGTGTCTATCACAAATAGCTTGCTGACCCTTTCTCTGTGTGTTTTTATCACAAATAGCTTACTGACCCGCTCTCTCTCTCTCTTTCTGGGTATACCCCCTACTAACACACTTAAGTAATACATGTAATCATCTGTATAATAATATACTATGGATTATTTGTTAAGCACATTCTTGGTGCTGTACAGAATAGAGGGGAAGGTGCAGTCCATGTCCCAAGGACCTTACAATCATATTACAAAGGGACACACACACACATATTCTGTTGAAAAAATTTTCTCCTCATTAAATGTAGAGGAATGCATTAGAACCCTCTTAAACAAATACCTGTTAAACTGATAAACTTTATTTGCAGTAGCTTGTAAATTACAGTAGTAATGCCCCTTATTAGCTGAACAATTTATGTTCCTTGAACAAAACAGGAATATTAAAATGCAGGAGACTGTCCCAGTAAATTGCCATTTAATTAAATAATTATTAGAGACAGTCCTCCCTGCGCGCCAAAACTATGACATTTAATTACTTTTGGTGTATTTTCATGAATTTGAGGTTTAAATGGTAACACTGTGAATTTGTGTGTTCTGTATGTATGTACTGCTTGTTTTACTGTGTGTACATACATGAATAGCATGCTGGTAAAATGAGTATGTTACTGAAAGCTACATGCTTGTTAAAAGGCTACCAAAGTCTTTTGAGTATTGTAGTTTATTTTCTTTACACATGTATATTAATTATGGTCTTTTGTCTGTTTTGAATGATGCTCAGTAATTTCCTCATGGCTGGCTGTCTTTATTTTTCTGTTTTTCACACTATGTCAGCAGTCTAACCTAAGATTGGTAAGGACAGTTTGTTATAGAACAACATTTACTGGATGGAAAATTTTGTCTGTTTCATTACTTCCATTAATAGATATGTATTGAATAGAAAGGACAAATCCAGCTCCTGACAAGAAAGAGCCCTGTAGATGCTAAGGGCTTGTGGTTTTATGGTTAAATAAGTCTATTCTTCTGTGATTCTGAAGCTCTCAGAGAAATCAACCTCTTAGGTTCCCATAGGACATTAGCTGACATTGAGGATTTCTTCTCTAATCCTAACTCATTGATAATTTACAGTGGATAACATTCTTATTGATTTTTTTCTATACTTCTCCCTCCACCTCCCCCCCAAAAAAGATAACCCTCTGCTATTGACATTTTAACTGAAATAAAAGTCAACTTGTAATTGTGTATGCAAAGATGTTCAGCAAGGATGTCACTAAACCTTGAGCATTGAATCTCATTTGAATATTCAGTATTGTTGGTTTTTTAAACCTAAGAACTGAAAAAAATTCCCCCAACCAGTCAGGTGTTTCTAAACTTCTTGCATGTATCATAATAAACTTTCAGATTTACAGTTACAAGTAGCCAACTGGGTTTTATTGTAAATGGACATTAGCTGATATTTTGGAAACAAAATAATCTGCATTGAGGACACCCCTGGATGAGGTATGTATTAAGTCTTTGATAGGAGAAAAGGTTTCACTGGGATACTTTGGTTTAAGATCAGTAAAATAGTGTTAGAAGACAAAATCTATAGCTTTTCCCATTTTCCTAAAATTACGATCAGTGTTACTTCTTGTATGAAAGGAGATTACATGAACATGTTATGCAGCTTTGATCATAGGTAGTATATTTCAGAAGAGTTAAGGAAATGTATGACAGTGAACTAGAGCTGAAAAATTCTTCTTTTTGGTATTTTTATGCTTTAAGATATAATTATTTGTTGAGAGTTTTTTTTTTTAAAGTCTTAAATGTAGGGTGGTGGATTTTTATCCTTTTTATTTGTATCCCTTGTTTTCAGTTTTATTGTTCACCATTTCCTAAAGGAACATGTTGTTCTCTGTGTAGTAGTGATACTAATATTCCCATCTAGCAAACTTAGGTGCAGGACCAGAGTGTTGTTTTTGGTATTTAATAATGTTAGAGTACTCAAACTGTTAAAATGATAACAATTAGTTGAGAGCAGTTAATTATTCTTTTCAGATTACACTTAATAACTGCTTGCCATAGGTTTTCCCATTTCTTCTCCAGAAAGAAAAAGGCTCACTGATTGTGTTGGAGGTATTTATTAAACAGAAAGACTTAATTAAATTAACTGTAAAAGAAATGCATGAAACACCTTTTAAATAACTTAAAAAGATGAATGTTAATTTTTTTTATTTGCTTCAGGCTGAAATTAGTTTTGTAGCCACCACCAAATTCAGGTACCTCATTATTATTCTTTGGAATAAAAGGCAGAACAATTTGAATAAAAACATTTTAAAATGGAATTGACAAAAACAATAAACATATTTCTGGGGATTGTAGTAGGGATTACTTGCGGGGGAGAGGGGGGAAGTTGGCTAGATAAAGAGAGATTATTTTCTATGCATTTATCTCATCAACTAACCAGTAACAATATCTCAGAAACATTAAATTAAAAATACTTTACATCATGCTATGGAATCAGGATTTTATTAGTAAGAGAGTAAGATGGTTGAAGCCTTTGATCTTAGCCGTTGTTCTTTAGTTAATTATGTTGGCTCAATTGCATAAAGGACACCATTAAGCGCTTTCATGCTTTACTAAAAGGATGGCATGTCTCAACCAATGTAAGTCTGTCTTTCTGTTTCAGTGTTCACAATTTTCTAATTTGGCTATTGAAATTTTAAGCATGAAATAGTTTTGTTTATTTAAATTATTTCCTTCTTTTATCCTTTTGACTATAATATAGACTTGATGAAAAATGCTTGCAAGCTATAATAGAACTGAAAATTTCAGTGCTGAAAGGTTTATATTCTAGAGATTGAGTACTTGGTTGCTTTCTCCTCTTATTGAATAGAGCTTTGTGATAACATTAAAAAGCAAGTGGAAACCCAGACCAGTCTTTATATTCACTTAATACTACCAGAGAATTTTACACATTTCTCTTCATTCCTGACTCTACAGGTCTCTTTCATCTACTCACTGCCACTCATTTCACTAATTTCTTATAGAAAAAGTTTGGTTTAGTTTTCTATATTTAGAAAGAGATTAACATTTTTTTAAATACAAACTTTGTGACCTTTCTTTGGCAATTCAGTCAGAGGTTTCTATGTATCTGCAGAATTCATTTTTGTCCACAGTGATTTCTTTTCATTTCTTTGTGCATGATTATATTGGCTTTATCTGATTCTCCTCATGAAGCAGTACATGTCTATAGAGATGTTTTGCTGCAGCTCCCCAAATAGTTCAGCCTATCTGAAATGATGAATGTCATACAAAATCATTTATCAACCATCTGAGTGAAAACTTGGATATTTTCCTTTCTGTGCCAGAGAATTTGTGCAGTTTGCTGCTGATTTAAAATGTGTACTTGCAAGTGACCCTAAAACTGGTGTTTGGCCAAGTTCAAAGCAGCTGTGCAGATGGACACAGAAGACAGAAGTCTGAGGGAAATAGACCCTTTTAATCATAACAAGGCTGCTCTTGTTTTCCTATCGATAGTAGAAATGCATGCCAGGCCCTTGTACTCAAACGCAATCTTGCAAATGTGCCAGAATAGGCAGCAATGGCATTCTATTATTAATATAAAGTTAAAATGTGTTAGGATTTCGTAGGGTTGAACCCTCTATCTTGTTCATATTGTTCCCTACTTCTGTTCTATTCGTAGACTGGCACTGTATTGATGTAAAATTAGAATAGAATGCACATAGAATTACTATTGTTGAGATAAGGACTTCCACTCAGAACCTATCTTATTGGAAATGTTTCAGAGTAACAGCCGTGTTAGTCTGTATTCACAAAAAGAAAAGGAGTACTTGTGGCACCTTAGAGACTAACCAATTTATCTGAGCATCGATGAAGTGAGCTGTAGCTCACGAAAGCTCATGCTCAGATAAATTGGTTAGTCTCTAAGGTGCCACAAGTACTCCTTTTCTTATTGGAAATATATGTGTTTGTAACTGATTGCAGAAGCCAGGTTAGAGTTGTCTATGGAATGGTTATAATTACTTATAAATCAGTTTCTTGTTGAAAGAACTTCTGAAGTTGCCTTTGGTGCACGTAAAAATAGTTCAATTAGCAACATGAGGTTGGACAACATTTGCTCATGTTTGTGTATTATGCAAGGGCTTTATGAATATCCAACCATTGGGCCCAATCCTTCTCCAGTTGTAGGCTTTTCTGATCAAATTAGCCAAATTCATATTGCAGATAAAATAACTAATTCACTATTGAATTA